TAAATTGAATTAAGTAATGAACCAAAAGTTAATTTCGTAAAAGTAAATATCACGTGTTTGATAATTATTGACAAATATATGGCAAAATAAAACATTAATTATCAAATTAATAATTGTATTAAGGATACTGTTTGAAACCATACATACGAGATACGAAAACCATTTTAAAACTCCGTATTTAATTTTTTGCGCCGCCTTAGCCGTCTAGATAATGGACCTGATGAAAGGGTCGACGAACACCGATTTTTTGCTTATTTCTTTCGTCGACTAAGTCATCGAGATAATGAACCTGACGATCATGTGGACGAAAATCCTTTTTTTTTCCCCTCTTTCGTGTACTTAGCCATGAAGATAATGAACCAGGTGATTAAGTCAACAAACATCGATCGACATTTTTATTTAGTCGGTCGACTTACTCGTCCAGATAATGAACCCAACGATAGGGTCGGAGGATTTTTTGTTTCTGTTTATTTCTTCCCATCGTCTTAGTTGTCGAGATAATGAACCCATTGGTCGATCAAGACAACGATTACGATTGATGTTTGGTTTATTTTGTTCACCAACAAGGCATTAAGTAACTTTGTCCAGATGTATATTGTACTCTCGCTCCAAAGCGAAAATCGCTAATGGACTTTTGAGTTTTAACCTGTGCCTTCTTTGCTCCCCTTCACTCTTGAAATAATAATCTAGTTTAAATTTTTATTTCTTACAAATTAAAATAAAATAAAAATCTAAAAGAATAAATTGATTTAGAATATAAAGAGTATCTAAAAAAAGAGAGCGTGCACACTGAGCCGGACGTTTAACGGCGAGAGCTACATAATGTGAAAGCGCTCGCGCCTTATGTTTGCCTGGATGAAGCTTTGACAAAACGGTGGTCGCTCGGATATATCAAACACCTTTGAATTTTGTCAAAACGTGAAATAGGAAAATGACGATGACAACATATAGATGGTGCGTTTTCCTCCCAAACTCTACTCCTTCGTCGTTTCCAATAATTATTCCACAACTAATCAAAACCAGCTAAAATATTCATTCCAATTCTTGTCATTTCTTACATGAACTCATCTCTCCTATCACTTCTGTTAATCAAATAATACTAAAACCGTCAACCGTCCAATTTAGAGTTAGAATATCCATAGTTATGAATAGCGACAATCCAGACAAATACATGTACTAACCATTGATTCCCTCCACCAAAACCCTTCCAAAATGCAAACACACAAGGCTTGTTAGTTTTTTCTCATTAACCTTGAAAACTCCTTTTGGCATCACATATTACCAAATCTACTAAATGCAAACACTATTCTTTCGTTCATTTTTGTTTGTTTTTTTGTTAAAAATTCGCCGATTCGCCTCCCCCCACCCATGCACGTCAGCATGCAATCAAATTAGAAGGCAACGGAAATAAGTAAAACAAATGTAAAATTCCAAACTTTGCATCTTTTATATAGGGCTCACATCTACTATTTATGCCTTCTCATAACAAAATCACACACACACACACATAAGAAAAAACCCCTTTAAGTTCATAATCATTGTTCATCATTCTAGCTACATTTTTCTTTCTTCAATGGTGATGCGAAACACCGATCAGAAGCGGGCGGCCGCTGTTGGTGCTTCGATTGCTTTGCTGCAAGAAAGATTTAGAAAGCTTGAGAAGATGAAGGAGAGAAGAGAAGAAGAAAGCCAGTTAATGTTTTATCCACAGCCAAAAAGATCCATGATCATTGACACTAATTCTATCATCAATGCTGACAGCAATATTTTGATCCGGGATGAGTTGTTTCTTCCATCAAGACCAGTTTTACAGGACCCGATTTCTCTTGCCCTCAATTTGAATAATTCCAATAAACATGTTGTAGAAGATTACAGAGCTCATCATCATCATCATCAGACAAAGAAGACGATCAATGGTCAACCAGCTGCAGCTTCTTTTTGTACATCTTTATGGTCTGCTCATGACAAAAGGGGAGTGAAAAGACCACTGAAGTTTGATGTTTCTGATGTTGATACTTCACTTCATCTGTAAAAAAATTATCTTCATATGTATATTTTTTTTTTTATCAATTTTTTCTTTTTGATCTTTAGTTTCTCCTCTCTTTGATAGTATTTCAGTGGTTACAGAAAAAGTGGAGCAGAGTAGTAATTTGTAACACTGGAGACAAATCACACCACTGGTATTTATAATCTAGTCATTTAGACCCATTTTCTACCCTTTTTCTGTGTTTAATATTAGAAAAATTATCACTTTAGAAGTATTTTAGCAATGAACGTAAAATTAATTGGTACTCTCTTTGGTCCTAATTATAATCCATAAATTTGAACTAATTTGAGAAAATTTAGTTGAAGGGTAGTAGGGATGGTCAAATTAATTAAAGGGGTATGACCAAAAGATAATTTTGACTGAGGGCAGTTAATTACTTGTTAAAACATTGTACAATCAACACACTTTTGTATTTACATAATTATCCTCACTGTGTCTTCCGATTAGGGGGAAACTAAGCTCCTTATTTTCTTTTCCAGATTCAATCATTTAATAGTACCTCAACTCGATTAATTAAAAAGCTATTGGCCGAACCTGATTAAGAACAAAATTTCCTATTTCGTTCTATCCAATCAAAATTTTCACAAGTGACAAGAACAATTATATAAAAATTAATTAAACAAAACTAAAGTTTCATGGGGTGGGCTTCTTGTATATGAATCATTTCAACGCCCAATAGCATTACTATCACAAAGAGAAAGAGAGGTTTTTATGTAGTAATAAGGAATGATGTCAACATGATTTCAAGACAACCTAATCTACTAATTAGAGTAGCTTCAATATATAATAAGCAGTTAAATTATTTATAGAACTGAACAAGAATAGCAAAAAACCAATTTAGCACTTGAAAATTTTGAATCTTATATTTGTAGCAGTCTTCAAATCCTAATAGCAACAACTTTGATGAGATGTTAAACTTTTGTCTCTAAATTTATGGGGTTTCTATTAAAGAGTGTGAATGAGAAGTTTGGATTCTTATTTTGTAGAATATGATTTGTAATTAAACTTGTTTAACAGTTTTGTTAATTAATCCAAGCTTTTCTTGAAATGATGTAATGTTGGAATCTTGAAGAATAAGGGAAGAGGATTTAATTTTTTTTTCTTCCGTTGAAAGAACTAATAAGCAAGCAATGGGTAATAATGCCATAATAGAATTGTTTTAATTTTATAATTTAAGGCAAGTAATTCACTGCCCTTACAAAAAATTATTTCATGGTCATACCCGTTTTATTAATTTGACTAACTCTATTGTCTTTTAGCCAAATTTTTCCAAATAATTTTAGTGTTAATTGATATCCTATAATTTGGACCGAAAGTATATCATCATATTAGTTGAATACTCACTCTATTTCAGAAAAATAGTCTTTGTTGAACTAAAATAATTAATATTGCAAAGTATATATTATATTTCTGCAAGAGAGAGTGGTTGTTTGGAACTCCAAACTGATCTGGGTGAACAAGATTTGGGTTGCTCTTGAATTGTCTCAAACCTGCTGAATCAAAATCGTCAGCGATGTTGACTTGAGATTAATTTTGTTGATGCTGAATTGACCCTGATTGTTGGACGCAAACAAGTGTCCAGGATAAAAACAAAAAAGTATCACTAACTTAACCATCATTCACCAATTAAAAGATCGTGGTTCAAAACCTGTCATGTAACTGGAGTAATTTAAATCTTTTAGAGAGTCGTTTCACCTATCAAGATACATATAATTTACAGTAGGAATAGTCAGGCACGGTTGCCAATAATTTACACCGGTAAATATGCAAAAATAAATAAATAAATAAATAAATATAAATTACCCAAAAAAATCGTCCACATTGAATTTTGAATATTTCTATGATGTTCAATTCAATATGAATTACTTTTTTTTTATCTTTTTATTTTTTGGGACACAAGGATAAAGGTGGTCAAAGTTTAATCTTCTACCTGGTGGAGCATGTCCTCTTTCTTTCGGCGCATCGGGTTAACTGACAAATTTAGCGTTGGACTCAAGTGTAACGATTTTTACAACGTTGATAAATCAAAGAACGAAATTTTGTTTTGCCGATCCATCAACACCAGTAAAGATGCTAAAACTAATTAGTTGACACGAAAAAAGATTCTCTGGTCAGCCTTTACAAAGGAGTCTGCACAAAATAAGAATAACTACTGAGTTACTTTTGAAGAGTTTTGAGATTGTCCTCCAAAATTTTTCATACTTTAATGGAATTGATGTTGACGACATCCTGTTTTTCCTCTGTAGTCTGTAGTATAGTAGCGGACAAAAGGGTGTTGACACATTAATATTAAATTTTAATACTTTTGTCGGTCCCATTTTAAGAGTCCACTTTAATATACATGACTGCTAAAATCAAATTAAATTTTAATACTTTTGTCGGTCCCATTTTAAGTGTTGCAACGATTTCTTGATAATTTTCAGTCTTTTAGTTGAGGTGAGATTTGCATGTCCAATATGTGCGTGGTGTTAACTGGTTTTGTAACATTTATATAGCTGCTTCTGCTCTGGGAAAGATATTGATGACTGGGGTATACCTAATTTTGGAGAAGCCGAATGCAAGATAAAAAGTGGTACAACAATCGTAGTGCAAGATGTTGCTAATAGTAATTTCGGGCCGGAGGGTGTATCAAAATCATTGCAATATGTTTTGGTTGAAGTGTTATTAGTACTATAGGTGGAAGCAGTAGGTAGATTAGAAGCATTATCAATCTTTGGAGTTTTACATATTAGTGCGACTCTTTCCAAGGATCTGTTTTAGTGTAAAATCTTTACTGCAGATAAAATTGGATCAGATAGACTCAGCTTCATATGATTCCTATGAATCTAAATCCTTTTCTGAGTAGATATCAAAAGTACTTTTCTGTGTGAGCGAGGTGAAGCAACAACCTTTGATGTTGCTTAAAAAAAACAGAGTTCTTTGTCCTTGGAGCTCATATCATAGAGAAGATTTTTGCTTGACATCATTTATAACAGAAAACTGTGAAGATGTATATTTACCAGTAATCTTTACACGAACAAGTTCCATTTTTGAAATGGTGGAACCGATTTCGATCTCTTACAGTAATCTCTCTTTCGTAAATTGTTGAAATGAACTTGGTGTAAGTGTGACAGTCACTGCACATCTTAACATTTCTAACTATTCTTATAGGAGAATGCTGAGATGTATGTATAAGCGCGAAGGCGATCGACAACTTCTGGCTATGGCAACCCAATATTTTCCTCTTTTCTTCTTCATCTACATCCAGCAACACCTGTGAAGTATCCGCGGAATATCCTTCGAATTTCAATTGCCATTCCATCTCTCGAAGCATCTCGCGCACGCCTTCGCACTTGGTATAAAATTTATCTTGTGATAGGAACTTATAAACTTTCCTTTGTACCTCAACTGAGCAGTATCCAGGTTCTTGGTTGAGCCCTTCATTGTCGGCTAATTCAGCTCGAGCGCACGCCGCGTCCTGCCATTTCTGAGCTTTTGCATACAAGTTTGATAGTGTCAAGTAATCACTTGCAGTTTGGCAATTTTGTTGGAACAGATTCTTGGCTGCTACTTCTGCTAATTCAACATTAGAATGAACCTTACAAGCACTAAGAAGACTTCTCCACACGACATCATTCGGCTTCATTGGCATGCTCTTGATTAGGTCAAAAGCTGCAGACAGCATCCCAGCTTTACCCATGAGATCAACCATACATCCATAATGTTCAAGGGTTGGTTCTATTTGATGTTCCAACCGCATCCTCTCGAAAAATTCGAGCCCTTCTTGAACAAGGCCGCTGCGACTGCAAGCACTGAGGACACCAACATAAACAACATCATCAGGTTCCAGTTGTTCATCAAGCATTTTTGAGAAGACCTTTAGAGCTTCATCGCCACGCCCGTGCAATGCTAGTCCCGAAATCATTACACTATAAGACATCTGGTTTTTTCCCTCCATTCTATCAAACAGGTACAAACCTTTCTCTATGCAGCCACATCTTACATACATATCTATTAGAGAAGTTTGGACTATGACATTTAGGCCACTCAAATTCCTCAGTAAATTACAATGTACAGACCTACCAAAATCCAAGGCACCTAAATGACTACAAGCAGAAAGAACACTAACCATCACACTCTCCTCTGCCCTCCAAAACCCTTCAGAATTCATATCTCTGAAAAGCTTAAGGCATTCAGACCACATGCCTAAGTTTGCATGAGCTGAAATTAGTGCACTCCAAGAACCTATAGACTTCTGATCCATTTGCTCAAAGATCAGACAAGAACTCCTAATTTTTCTACATTTTCCATACATATTAATTAAGCTGTTCTGTACATATAAATCATCTTGAAGCCCAAGTTTAAAGACATGCCCATGAACCTGCATTCCTTCCTCAATTGCAGTTAGCAGAGCACATGCTTTTAAAAGTGCAGGATAAGTAAAATTATCAGGTTCAACACCTCTTTCAAGCATCTCAATGTAGAGAAACAGAGCTTCTTCTAAGCTCAATTCTTGGATGCATCCTCTCATAATGGTATTAAAATCAAATGTACCTGGATCGTCTATATCGCTAAAAATCGAGCAAGCGTAGTCCATGCTACCCCAATCTGAAAGCGCACAAGTTGCCACTAGATTGCTTGCACAAAATGAGCTCCAGATCAAGCCCAACTTGATAATCTGAGCATGAACTTGCTTGAATTCTTCAAGGCTATTGCATCCCTTCATGAGAGAGATACATTCTTGTTCCTTCAATCTAAAATCGATTTCTGGGCTCTTGGGAGAATCCTCCTGCGGCAACATGAAGTGATTCTGGTAAAGGACTAATGTCCCAACCATTGTTGCAACTGTTACATATCATACTAAAAGGTGCAGCCAGATGAGTTCCACTCTGTTTGAGACTCTTTCTCAGGATTTCCACCTTATCTGCTTAAATTGGCTTAATATTCCTTTTGGGACTTAATGAATTCAGCTGAATAAAAAAAAATTAATTGGTAAAATGAAAATTCAAATGGTTTGGATCTTTCGATGCCATTAGTCCATTAATGGTGGATTGTCATTTAGGCAGAATGTTGTTTGAGGCTAGGAATTGCTTGTTTGTTAATGTGATTGGAACCATTTTGGAGTGTTGTTTTAACTTTTTGAGCAGAGCATGGGTGGGAAAGGAGGAAATCTCATCCATAGGATAACAAATGGAGATTTCCATCTACAAGCATTATGTTCCATTTGCCAGCATGGATTTAGAAAGTTTGAATGATAGTGATGCTAGGAAATGATAAGATAATGTTTCTGACAATTTCCTACTGCTCAGGATTCCATCAAAATATCCACAACCAGAGACGTATCAACATGTATTTTTTGTATTCACTTTCCACAATCAAAGTTGAATACGTAATATAATCCGAACTAAAATAATTGTCGAGTTGTGATTCTTCACTTTTATTTTGAAAATTTAAATTGAATTATCATTTTTATAATCATTCTAAAATTGAATAAATTGATATTCCCTTCATTTCTAAATGTAAGTCATTTTAGGTTTGGGTCGTTTCAGAATTTCTAAGCAAATTAAAAATTAATTTCCCAACTTTACCCTCAATAAATAATGCTAACCATTTTTTTTATCTAGTTTTGGTTATAGTTTCAAAACGATTAATGATTGGTAAAATATATATTTAATACACAAATTAATTATTAAATAATTATTTCCTAAGTTTATATATAAAGTATAAAGTGACTTATATTTTGAAATGGAGGGAATAATAATTATTTTGAAACAATTGGAAAGGTAGAAAAAAATTTATTCCGTCCCAATCATTTACTAAAAGAGTGTGGAACTCATCAATGTGGAACCAAGGTTTAGGGGGATTTTTGAATTTGGGCCCCTTTAGTCTTTTGCAAAATCCAGCATATGATAAGTGGGCGGGGCTGCAGTTGGACTGTTGGACTATTAAATAAATATTCTTCCTTTCAGAAGAACGGATACAAGTTTCAAAGTTAAGCCTGCAAAGAGGATGGAAGGAATTCGTTTGCATGTTCCCTACTCCATTTCAGATATTCCCATGTTACAAGGATTCTATTTCTTAGGGTTGACAATTTCTGATACGATTTGGAATTTCGACACGAATTTGACACGAATACGACATGCATATTAAGCAGGTCGGGTTAGGGTTGTAAATTTTGACCCGTTTAATATACGGGTTGGATTAGGATCAACCCGACGGGTTACCTGGATTACCCACGAACATGTAAATTTTGTATACTGTAGGGGTAATTTAAAAATTTTGTAACAAAGTAACCCTAATTTCACCTCATATATACTCTTTTCCTCTCCCTCAGCCACCTCTTCAGCTCTTCTCTTCACTCTTTCTTTTTTTTTTTGTTCTTTTTCTTTTTCTTTCCTCTCTTCCTCTCCCTCGGCCACCTCTTCTCCTCTCTCCTTTTTTTTTCTTTTTTTTTTCTTTCCTCTCTTCCTCTCCCTCTCGCTCGGCCGCCTCTTCTCCTCTCTCCTTTTTTCGTTTCTTTTTCTTTTTTTTTGTTTTCTTTTAACTTCCCTTCAATTGAAACCTTTCTTGAAAGATCTGATAGATGGGACATCTGATTTGTAAATTAGAGGGTAAAAAGATGTCAAAAAGCTCCGACTTTCAGTGCTCTAATTATTGTTTTTACACTCATTACGGTCGGCGGCGTTCGGGCGACGAGTTGCAGCAGGAACGCAGTGAAGAAGATGATTTTAGTTTTCCAGAAATTTTAGGATTGGTCCCCGTATTTTTCTATATAGCAGAAGGTTGTAATTTGGATTTAATTTTGTAATTTGAATACTGGTTCTTTAGTTGTTTGGACTTTGGATCAAGGTGGTTGTAATTTGTGTGATTTAAAACTGGAATTTTCAGATTTTTTTGGAACCGCAATCTTAGTTTTTTTTTTATTTTAGATTTTTTAAAAAAATTTCGAGTTAACAAGTCGAGTCACGGGTGAACTGAATATTTTCAGGTCGGGTTAGGGTTCTAAAACTCGACCTGTTTATTTATACAGGTCGCGCCCGGGATGACTGAATATTATTCGGGTTCGGGTTCGACCCGACATGCCAACACGGACCCGACACGGATTGCCAGCCCTACTATTTCTTCGAAGTAAAACAATTCGGTCCATAAAAATAATTCTTAATGCAATCTCTTGTTTTTAAAGACACGATGTAATATTTGTTATTTGGTTGCAAATTTGCAATCTCTCTATCTGCTTTTTAGCATAAGTTTGGAAATCCGTGCTCCAATTTTTTTTTTCATCTAAGGTTTTGTCAATGAAAAATACATTTGCATACATACTTTTCTTTTTCCACTTTATATGCTATTAGTTTGGAGACATTTTTCTCCAAACGTTTCATGGAAGATGATTTGTTTTTCTATTACTTTGGATACATTTTTCTCCAAACATTTAATGGACGATGAGTTTTTTTGGTATATACTTTCTGTAACATGTCTATGTCCAGATTCGAACCCAGGTCATTGTTAAACTGGTCTAATCCGTTTACCAAGTGCTTGTTGGTTATGGAAGATTAATTTGATATCGATTGTTTGTAAAACTTTTTTTTTCCCCTCTCCTTTTAATGTAAAAAAGGTCATTTTCATCTTTTTTTTTGGTGCAATAAACATATATATTAACTCACCAAAATATGAACGTTCTGTACATCACTGCTTAAACCCCTACCATTCTACAAAAATGCACCCCTATTCTACCAAACTTAAATAAGAGCCATTTTGAAGCAGATTAACAAAAATAAAAGACAATCTTTATATCTGAAAAAACTGATGCATCACCTTTACCTCAGTTCTAGTTTTCTTCTTAGGCCAGTACACAAATCGACATTTCAACTCTGTTTTGATCGTATGAAGTATGTCCTCAGCCCTTCTGACTTGATTGTCAAAATACCATTTGTTCCGCTCCTCCCAGACATGATAAATACATGCAGCAAAGGCAGCCCACAATATTTTCCTTTTGAGTTTACAGCATTTCCACTGGGATAGCACTTGTTCTTTCCATCGCCTCTCTTCATCAGCAATCTTCCTACACCCTAGCCACTGCACTATGAGATCTTTCAAGCACTTTGCAAAACTACACTGAAAGAATAAGTGCTCCACTGTTTCAGGAACTTGGTTGCACCGTAGAGAGCTATTATTAGCAACAACCAAATTCATGGATCTGAGTCTGTCTCTGGTAAGTAACCGCCCTTTCCAAGTAAACCAAGTAATCAATGCGTGCTTCGGTACATTCAATTTTGACCAAATGGATTGATCCTCCATCAGCTTTCCTCCACTACCACTCAACCAGTCATACCCAGAATGAATAGCACAGTTCCCTATTTTGGTAGCTAACCAAATATTACCGTGAAAACCAACTCTGCCTTGATCTCTCACCTTCAATAGTTGTTTCCACTGCCAACTTGCATCATTCTTGGCTTGAACATCCCAGGAGGACAGGGAACCCTTAATATACACGCCATGTATCCGTTGAATCCATAAGGCATCCTTCTGGACAGCCAAGTGCCAAACCTATTTGAGGATAGTTGCCCTATTCCAGATTGCTGCATCCCTTAACCCAATCCACCTTCCGCCTTTTTCTTACAAACTTCCTCCCACTTCACCAGATGCACTGATCTGCCTTTGTCATTAACTCCCCAAAGGAAGTCTCAACAGATTCTATTAACCCAATTAGAAATACTTTGAGGTAAAATAAACATGGAGCCCCAATACGTATGCATCGACATCAAAACAGAATTTACTAATACCAACCTACTAGCATACGAAAGATGGCGGGAACTCCAACATTTGATCCTAGCAACGATCCTCGTTATGATTTCCTGACACTCAACCTGAGACCACTTTTTAAGAGATAGTGAAACTCCTAGACATTTCATCGGAAAAGAGCCTTCAGGGAATTCAGTAATATCGCAAAGTTTCTCCTTTAATCCCTGGCAAACACCCCTAAAGTACATTGATGACTTTTGTGCATTAGCCTCTAAACCAGTAGTCTTCTTGAAATCATTAAAAATCCTCATAATCTTCTTAACAGTACCAACATCTGCCTTGCAAGAGATCATTAGATCGTCTGGAAAATAGATGTTGGTCAGTTTGAGTTCTTTACTCATGGGGTGGAACTTAAACCCAGTTTCCGCTACCTTTTTTAAGCTCCTAGTTAAGTACTCCATGACTAATACAAATAAAAGAGGTGACACCGGATCCCCCTGTCGAAGTCCTCGTTTCCTCGGGAAATAATCCACAGAGCTACCATTTACCAACAACGGAAAAGATGGAGTCGACACACAGGTCATGATCCAAGCCCTAAATTCATCCGGAAAACCATATCCTAACATCATTTCTTCCACGAACCCCCACTGAACAGAATCATAGCCTTTTTTAAATATATCTTCATTAACATTCTCCCACTAACCCCCTTACGTCTATATAGCCTAATCAACTCCTGAGTTACCACTGGCCAGGCTTTCTTAAAGAATCCTGCACCGTATCCATCAGGGCCTGGACTTTTATTTACGTCCATTTCCCAAATTGCTGCCTTAATTTCTGAATGTTGGATTGGCCTGATGAGTCTCAGCTCCTGCTCTACTGTCAAAACTAGTCACATTTAAAGACTGTTGAGTCCACTGGCAACCTACTGCTTGATTTGCCCAACATATTCTGGTAATGTCTCATAAAGTGATCCTCTATGCCTGGCAGGTCCCCAATCGTTTCTCCATTTTCATCTATGACTGACCAGATCCTCTGCTTCATGGTTTTGATCTTGATCAATGAATGGAAAAACCTCGTGTTTTCATCCCCTTCACCCAACCATTTTTCCTTCGCGTTTTGCTGCAGGAAGCTATTGGCTGCTCTTCTGGTAACAAGATACTTCTGATACATGGCTCTTTTTATCCCCTGCAACACAATATTACTTGGATCATTACTCAGTTCCTCTTGAGCTTTAGCCAGCAACTGCTCCTGGTTGGCCTTCTCAACAATGTCCGCAAACTGAGCTTTGTTCAGTTGCTTTAATGGATATTTCAATCTTTTTAACTTCTGACATAACTGAAACATAGCAGTTCCTCTAACTTGTTGCTCCCAACTTCTTTGCACTATATTCAGGAACTGAGGAGCCAAACTCTACATATTAAAGTACCTGAAAGCTCTTTTTCCTCTCTGAATCATCACACATCTCTGCACCTCTATGGGAGCATGGTTAGACACTCCCTCCATTAGGACTGAGGTAATTGAATCACTAAACTCATCAATCCATTCCCCATTGACCAAGGCTCTGTCAAGCTTTGCATATACCCTCTCATTCCCCATTCGTTGATTGCACCAAGTGTAAAGCTTTCCTTGCTGCCACAAATCTTTGACACCACATTCATCTAAACACCATTGGAACTCCTCATAGTCTGACAATGCCACAGGTCTACCCCTCAACTTTGCCTCCGGTGTAAGTATATTATTAAAGTCCCCCATGATCAACCAAGGTTCCGTTATACACTTAGATAGACCAACCAGTTCCATCCACAAGGTTGATCTCTCTTCTGATTCAGTAGCAGCGTATACACCCGTAAACAAGAAATGACTATTATCCACCTTACTCATACACCTACAATGAATTATTTGGGAGTTCTGACAAAGAGGATTTACCTCTAACTCATCATCCCATATGATCATTATTCTACCCTTCTCATGTCTTTGGTAGTTTGTTGTTCACTTCCACCCTAACCACCGTTGTTGTGAAAATTGCTCACCCCTTTTTTTACTCATCTTTGTTTCAACCAAGCATATCAAATTATACTGGCCTTCTACAACTCTTTTATGAACTTCATTCTGCTTAAGGGGAGAGTTCAGGCCTCTAACATTCCACGTAAATATGTTACTCATTGCAACAAAGAGGGCTTGGATCAATCATTAGTCCCTCCTTTGCGCCTATGTTGTCTGCTAAACTCCTTTGACCTCTGTCTGATGCCCCAATCTAGATGCCGGAACCATTTGAGATAAATTGGCCATCAATCACCTGCTCCCTTGTATCAATAGAATTACCTTCTTCACCATTCATCTTCCCCTTCAGCTTTTTACCCAAGACCTTTGTGCTTATCAGGCGTAGTTGGCTTTTTGTGAATCACATCAGAACCATCTCTGACATCTATCACTTCCTTCATTTTAGAACCGGACTGACTGCCTCTCTCAACTGAATTCTATACACTGATAATTGGTGTTGGTTTCATCTCCTTTTCCGTCTGCTTCTTTCGATACTTCTCCGTTAAATGGTAAAACTCCAAGCAGTGACTACACTTAGTTGGCAGCCACTCATTGGCTACCTTCTGAACTCTTACAACACCAAGCTCATCTTCAAACACCAGTTTTTCAGGCACTGTTTCCTTAATCTGCATTTCGACCAGTATCCTTGCATATTGAACCCTCTCCTTACTGACTGTACAATCATCTGTAAGTAAAAAGGAGTTCCAAGAGAACTAACTAGTCTACTCAATGAATTCATATGCCAGTATTTTGACTCTAAGCCATACAATCTAATCCAAACTGGAACACACTCAACATCATTATATCGTAATCCTTTCTCTACATCGGAAGGCTTCACAATCAATGGCTTAGAACCAAAATGATAAAAAGGAGCACTTAAGACCACATCTCTAGCATGCTGAGAAGTAAAGCGTACAACAAACAATCCACTGGCTAGACAGTATAATTACCTTGTCTATGCCATGTTTGCCCCATAACCTGTGAAAGTACTTCTCCATCACAGATATTGAAAGGCGTGCTCCCAACACAAAGCTCACAATAGACAACTCGCAGTAGTCAGTTTCAATACGAACATCCTCAAGTTGCATCTTCGAAACTGCTTGACCATCCACCATCCTGGGAGGAATATATTGCAATTTCCCTGACGACGCTTTGAATTTCTGAGAATCCTTCGAATCCCAGACCTTAGGCACCTCATCACCATCCTTCCTTTTAGACCAATCCAATTGCCTTCTAGGGTTCTGCGCTCGAACCATCCCATCACCCTCATCCTTTAACTAGCCATTTACAGCCACCACTGAGAAATAGATCCTTTTCAAGCTGTGGAGTCGACGTTTGCTTCCTCATTTGCAATCCCCCTTTTGCACCTTTGGATGTGCCCTCAATTGCTTCCACCAATCGATTCAATTCTTTAGTCTGCTTTTCCAAAACCCTAGTTAGTCCCCCGTTACACCCCCCTCCCCCCAATTCAATAGATCCCTTACCAGCACTATTAATTCCTTCCAGCGTTTGCTTTTCCATCTCAATTTTCTTTTGATTAACTTTCCCCTTCTTCTTTCTGCCTGCCATGGCAGGCGCACGATAAGGCGTGCGCCGAGAGCAAACAGAGAGAAAGTATCAGCAAGAGAGAGAAAGATTTTTAATTTAGCTCGATCATTTTCATCTTACAGAATTAATTTTTGACAGAATATTAGACGAATTTGAAACTCTTCGTATAATAGCATATTTACTTTGAATTGAAAAATAATTTTATAGGACCACTTGCGACTCCACAGCAGGCTCTCAAAAGATGTTATAGGGTTTGTTACTCTAACATTATTCAGATTTTAACTCTTTCGTTGTAACCAAAAAAAAAAATCAATTTACCTTGCAATAAATATGAAAATGCAACTTGAGATATCACAAAAAAGGTGAACACAGGATGACCATCATTAGGACGGCGGGAATAGGGATTACTAATGACTTCATATAAAACTCATAGAGTGATGATAATGTTCTTCATTCAAGTTGCTAATTTGTTCCCAGTGTTTCTAATACACTTTTAAGCTAAAACAAAAGGGAAAAGAATAAAACCCGATATTCATTGTATGTATGAAAAATAATTTGATAATTATACACATATATAGTTTCTTCTATATCAAAACCAACCAGCTGCATGTTCTTAAATAATCCCATTCCCATTACAATAATTGAGGGAAGAGCACGACATTCAGCATGGACACTGATCACATGGCATGCAGTCAAGAATCTTAAACATAATCCTAAAAATAATACTTAAAAACTGAAATACTAATATATAAGCATTTATATTGGGAATTGGAAAAAAGAAAAGAAAAAAAGAAAATCAATTCTCCTCCTTTTCCTTGCATTCATCAATAAACTTTAAAAATAAGATAATTTCAAATTGAGGCATGGAAGATCAAGGGAAATGACCAGATTTCAGATGATATATTATTATTTATACCGCTAGGTGGAGTCTAAAGACATATCACAATACTTATAAACAAGTTCCACCAATTTATGTGCAATTTTAAACGTTAAACCCTATCTCGATTGTTACGACCCCAAATTAATGTGAAGGGTTTCCATCAATGGAAGTGATAAGAGCAAATGAAATCGTCACCAATGAAAAAATTAATTTATTAATAACACTCTCTTTCACAAATGAGTAATGCTGTTTGACAGTTTGTTACAAATGACACATTATAGGGCAGTCTATCCGACTCTAGATATTCTCTTAAGTCTTTATCATAAGTCATTTTAATTTATACAGGTTTCATTTATAATATTTCTTAAATTGAATGAAATTTTAAAAATACTTTATAATAATTGGGAGAACACAATAAATGTAAAAATGTATTTTTTAAAAATTTTATTTTCAGTTGATAAAACACGATAAATGAAACTGAGGAAAAATGAAAATGACTTATAATAAAGACGTGATAAAATATTTATTTTTTTCCCACAAATAACAGAAATTTTACAATATTTTTTCTCCCTTCGACTGATTCATTCCTCGAAAAAGGAGAATATTATCATCTATATTTAGTCATTTCAACTTTGACCTAAGAACTCTACCCGTTAACCACCGATCCTCTACACCGTAGACCAAAACGACCTTAAGACTGGCAATTTCTCATACCAAAGAATCTTGAGACGGATAGTCTAATATTAAAACTGTCAAATAGAATAAATAAATAAATAAAGAAAGAAGTAAACAATGAGCTGGATCTTGTTTTGAAATGGGCATTTGCCAAGTTGCCATGCATGATGTTTCTTTGCTTAGAGATGTATAGGCCCCAATTTCAGCTGGATATTCTCATCATATGTTTTTGTTTTCTTTTCTTTTTATTTATTTATTTTTGAATAAAAGCAAATTCCCAAAATGAAAGAAGAACGTACTGCAGGTCAAAGTATCATTTCTGGACATCAACTCATTAAAAGTATGTTTAGATGGGAATAAAACATACCAAAACAATTGTCTTGTCTGTTCTTTTACAGTAAAACAGAGTGATTATTTTTAATTAGAAGAAAACTTGAAGGAATTTTTCACCATAAACTCGTGCGAAAAGAAAAAAAGAATAGTCAAGCATCAATTGAAACTTTTTCACAACTACATGTACTTCTCTTACGTCTAATTAGGAAGAGGTTTACAGAGCAATGGTATGTTAATCAATTAATCACGAGTGTATCTATATATATCTATATATATATATATATATATCCGTTACGTATTAGGGCTAATAAGAACTCTGAATAATCCTCCTTTTGTCCAAAAAAAATAAAAATTGATCTACTTATTAAACTAAAACAATAAAATAAACTGAACTCTTAATTTGTTGTTGAGATCGAGAGAGCACTGCTTAAGCTACCTTTTGTTAATATCAGTCATTAATGTTGTCATGTTCTGAGGTGCCTATCATCAAACTTATAATTGCTTAAACATAAATATTTGCTTTCCCAATCATCTAGCGCTACTGGTTTTCGTTTAAGTAGTTTCATCAACCTCGCTCTTTATTTGAATATATACTTGCATATAACTCAAAACAAATTTATGAGAAGTGGAGTGACACAATAACCTTTGTAAAAACTAAGAAAGCAGTACGTTTGAAATAATTGTTGGGTAAGTAAATTACTAGAATATCTTCAACCTACTATATTATAAATAGTTATCATTAATACGATTTTTTATTGAAGGTAATTTTGAAAATTTTGGCAAAAAATTGTACTTTAAGAGAAAACGATACTTATTTTTAAATTTTTCTCTTTTACTAAAATCACAGTTATTCAAAATGGAGAGAGTATTACATTTAATACTCCATTTATTTCAAAATGTAGATCGTTTTAGGTTTGAAGAAATATTTCAAAATGTAGGTCGTTTTAAGATTTCTAGGCAAATTAAAGATCAACTTCCCAACTTTACTCTTAATAAATAATACTAACCATTTTTCATCTAGTCTTGGTTATAATTTGAAAACGATTACTGATGGGTAAAATAGATATTTAACACACAAATTAATTATTAAATGATTGTCTCCTTAGTTTACGTGTAGAGTGTAAAGTGACTTACATTTTGAAATCAAGGGAGTAATTGTTATGTCTTTAATACCTGTGCATATCATAATGCGTTAGATTAAAAACGAAAAATTACGTCATGAAACTCTAACTAGAATCTGGCGTCGGCGGTTCTCAACAATTTCGGTTTGTAAGGATTGATACATAGTATAAAGAGGAACATTTCGTACAGATCTCGCTAGCTTAAAATGCACGGAATTTCATGCAAGCTTTAGATTTTGTGCCCCAGTATCATTATGTTGATCTTTGTAATATTTCCCATGTAGTAATAATTCGGTGTCCTCTTACCGTTTTAAACTAAATGTCGTTATAAGAAAATATCATAAAATTAAAAAAGCATCCCAATTATTTTATAATAAATGGAATATTCCGAAATCTTTTTTAGACAATTGAAAAGGGTAAAACATCATGTGAGACATTTTGTGTTAAATTTCCTATAATAATATTAATAGGTTAAGTATTTTACATTTGTCTATAGCCAACTTATGTTTCTATAAAAAGTTTGCAAGGAGTTAAAAAAGCTACAGTTTGGGAGTTCAAACGGACAAATAACATATCAAAACTTAAACTATGGCTGGAAGATGATGCAATTAAATGAACACATTCCTGTAATTCATTACTTTGAGTTTTCAGATTATGCTTTTTAGTTTTATTATTGCACCAAAGACAAGGATATTTTTCATATCAATCAACATAACATATATACACTAGTACGTGAAATACGGCTAGGAAATGCCCAATCTTTAGACCACTTTCCTCTCAGATCTGAATCAAACCAATAAACCTGAGCTGTTACTGCTTCCAATATTGATTTATGTTTTTAGTACAATAGACGCGATTGCCTTGATATATCTAAATTATTACAACTCTGTGATAAGAAACACCAACTATATATATTATGTTTTTACATACTATTATCAGTTCTTTGATTTCAATATGAAGATGAAAACTCAACGATGAAGCTGTATCAACTATAACTTCTTAATATACTCGTTCGTTTCAAAATTATTGTCTAATTTGAATTTTCATTTTTAGTACAAATTGAATTTAAAGTGAAAATTCAATCTGAACAATAATTTTAAATCAGAAAGAGAGTACTATTCATCATTAGTAATTAACCATTGTGCGCCGTGTATGCCTAAGATACATTTAAAAAAAAAAAATTAGAATCAAGCACATGTACTACGGAAGTAATTAGAGTTTGTGTTTTCTCACGAATCAATAAACATTTAATCAATTTGGATGAAATTTTGAAATAAAATAAGGGTTTATAACAGAATGTAAGGAGCAGAATCAAACCTTTGTTTTCTTTTGCACGTTTCAACCTTCTAGCTATCTTTATGGGCTAGTAAATTTTCTTTTCCTTGTTTCCACAAAGCAAATTATGGGCTACCCACAATATCTTCGAACCAACTCCTTGAGTTCTAACCAGCGTTTACTTTCTCATTGCAAAATTGTCAACGATATCAAATTTTCTCCTCACTCCAAAAACAAAGAAACCCTTTTTCGATTCATTTATATTCTTAAACCAAAAAAATTCTATAAAATGCATTAAGTAATTAATCAAATTCAAACCAGAAGTAAATAAACTTTTTCTATCATGATGACTCTTTTTGTCCCAAATATACCGTTATCCGGTTTATATTATGTTATAAAATAACAAAATCAAATGAGAAAGAACTTTTTATACCTCCTCCGTCCCATAATTATTGTCTAGTTTGGGTTTTCATTTTCAGTTTAAATTGTACTAAAAGTGAAATTTCAAACTGGACAATAATTTTGGGACAGAGGGAGTAACTTTTTCTATCAAATCAAATGAGTGTATAGTTGATCAACACTTCCTTTTAATGAATTCTTATTGCATCCGAGCTTCCAACTAGCCATTGCTAGCTAAAATCACGGAAGAAATTCACATGCATGTGCATGACACAACTTGTTCAGTAATTTCATATTATATAAGAAAAACAATTAAGGAGGATCATACACATGACTCGTAGCTAGTTCCCTTATATAAACCCAATGATCGATGTGACAAATTCGAAACCATTCAATCCACAAAACCAAAAGAAAGCAATTGCTAGAAATGGAATTCCAAATACTTGGTCGTCTTGTTCTGGTGATTGTAGCATTGGTTTTTAATGTTTTCGGGGCACAGGGAAATGTTCAAATCAAAAGGGTCGGGTTGAACAAAATTGATCGATCTGCTCAACCATTGTCACCTAGTTTTGCAATTGATATGCTCAATCGTAGTAGTTTTCCTCCGGGTTTCGTATTCGGGGCGGCCACTGCTTCCTATCAGGTTCTCATTTTCTTACAATTTTGCATTTTTGTTTTTGGTGGCACCAAAATGTCACAAATTGACTCAGTTCGGTTTAGTTGATGAACTTACGTTTTTCTTTTTTTTTTAAAAAAAAAAATTAATTTATAGGTTGAAGGTGGATGGAATGCTGATGGCAAAAGTCTTAGCAATTGGGATTATTTTACACACAAATATCCAGGTCTTTTACACATATTATATCATCACAAAAAAATCTATTTCTCCACATCGTATAATAATCTTGTTCATCATATTTACAGATACCAGTTACACTATAACTAAATGTAGTTAGTTTAAAATTGTGTGTTAGGAATAAAGATGATAATATCGTAGCCTAGCTGTATCAGCAATTTACCGTAATATAATTCATTACCTTTTTCAGTTCTAAACAAAAAAAGTAAAAGTATACAATTTTTGTAAAAAAAAAAATTAGCTAAATATTTTCCCCTTGCCTACTAATGTTACCTTCCGTCATTAGAGGTAACATTTAATTTTGCTAAAGAAATGTGGATTGAATGATTAATTTAATTTTCCTATTTTATTTATGTTTCTTGTGAAATCACAGAGAAGATAGCAAATCGCAGCAACGGTGATGTTGCAGACGACTCCTACCATAGGTACAAGGTAATGTAATATTATTCACACCTTTTTGTCCTTTTACATAAATATTTTTAACTAATTATTAAAACCCCTCCATGATATATTGTCTTCCTCAAATATTTTTTTAAAAATTAATTTGACCTATTCATTCGACCATTCTGACCATCTCTGAAACTCTTAATTAGTACTCTTGTCCCCGACAAAAACATTTCTGTGTATTAAACTAAAGAGTATATAACAGACGAAATTTGGAATTATAGAAATACAATTTAACAGTGGTTCATAAACCTTTTTACAGGATGATGTCAAAATTTTGAAGGATATGAACGCGGATTCATATCGTTTTTCCATTTCATGGTCAAGAGTTTTACCTTGTAACCCCTAATAACTTCCTACAATAGTCTTTTCAAAATTTTCATATATACTTCAAATTCGAAATGGCAGGATATATTTGATCGCTTATTTTTATGTTATTGTAGCTGGCAAGATTAGCAAAGGCATAAATGAGAAAGGAATTCAATATTATAACAATCTCATCAATGAACTTTTAGCTAACGGTATGCGAATATGCAATACTTTTTTTTTATTAATTTATTTGATTAAATAAATCAATCTTTATTTGTACATTTGCACAAAAGAAATTGTAATTAATACTCCTGCAATAATTCATACTTATAGGTCTAACTCCAGCTGTGACTCTTTTCCACTGGGAACTTCCCCAAGCTCTAGAGGATGAGTATGGTGGTTTCTTGAGTTCTAACATTATGTAAGTGGTTCTATACATATTCCATGCAAACTATAAAAATAGTCATGCAGTATTTCTTTCGTTCCAAAAAAGTAAAAAAAATAAAAAAGTATCATGTTTCTACTAACATGATGTTTAACATTTCATATGTCTTGCAGACAAGATTTTCATGATTTTGCAAACTTGTGCTTTGAGAGATTTGGCGATCGAGTAAAATTATGGATCACATTCAACGAACCATTCACTTTCAGTCAATTTGGTTACGATAGCGGACTAACCGCTCCGGGTCGATGTTCACCATGGGTGAATCCGAATTGCACCGGAGGAAATTCCGCCACCGAACCCTATATAGTCACCCACAACCAGCTCTTAGCTCATGCTGATGCGGTGCAGTTATACAGGACGAAGTTTCGAGTTAATACAAGAAAACACTTCTCACTCTTTTTTTTTTTTTTAACTACTTTATTTGAATGAATGAAGTAATATTAATTGTTCTTATTCTTTCAACGACTAAGTTGAACTATGGATGTTTGTAGGCCAAACAAAAAGGTTTGATTGGGATGACAAACGTTGCCATATGGATGGTGCCTTTGACGAATTCGCCGTTGGATCAACGCGCATCTATTCGTGCCCTAGATTTTATGTATGGATGGTAAGTACACTAAAATATTCATCTTCAAACTGTTAATTTCAGAGATCTCATCTTCTCAAAATCTCACCCAAAAAGAGCTGTATATTAATTAACATATTGTTTTTTTCTTTTAAAGGTTTGTGAACCCTTTAGTATACGGCGACTATCCAGAATCAATGAAAGTTTTGGTTGGGAATCGTCTTCCTAGATTTACATTTCAACAATCTAGACTGTTGCGAGGGTCGTGTGATTTTCATGGCTTGAATTATTACACTGCATTATATGCTTCCCACCCCACCAATCCTTCCAATACGGCCAATGTAAGATACATTACAGACAACCATGTTGATCTTACTGGTAAGCAGCTTTTAAAGATATTTATACGCATGATAATTTATTTAATTATATGGTACATAATTCGTTGTAAAATATTTTTTTTCTTTTGTCCCTTTATGTTGGCTTTGGCAATGGCAGCTACCCGCAATAACATGCTTATCGGAGAACAGGTAAAATTCTTATACTCCCTGTCCCAAATTTATTGTCTACTTTCGAACTTTGACGTTTAGTTCAATTTGTACTAAAATTGAAAAATTCGAATTGGATAATAATTTCAAGACGGAGCTGAGGGAGTAACATATTCCTTTGTCACAGAAACATTTTCTAGTTTATTATACTCTTTTAATTTAACAAATAAACTATATTTCAGGAAGTATATTTCTGATTTAGTTGAAGCAACGATTTTACCATTTTGAAAAATGGTTTTGCAGGCTGGATCAGATTGGCTGCACATTTATCCGGAAGGAATTTGGAATCTTCTCGTTTATATAAGGGACAAATATAGAAATCCAGTAATTTATGTCACGGAAAATGGTACACGCTTTCAGCAAGCACAATCGCAAATGATATAAATACCAAACTAAAAAATACATTGCTCGCTGGCGCGCTGATAAAATTTTCCAAAATCGTTTTCAGGGGTGGATGAATTGAATAATCCCTCGCTAGCACTCGAGCAAGCTCTTCAAGACAATTTCAGAATCCAATTTTATTATCGCCATCTACAATTCGTCAGAAAAGCGATTCAGTAATATTCTTTTTGTTGAACTATTATCATTATCAACGGAAAGAAAAATGTTTGATTCTTGTTATCACAAGCTTCCTCCTCTAACTATTTAACTAATGTTCCTTATTTTCTGTGTTTTGTTTTGTTGCAGGAATGGAGTGAATGTGAAAGGATACTATGGGTGGTCACTGATTGACAATTTTGAGTGGCAAAATGCATACACAGTCCGTTTTGGAATCAACTTTGTCAATTACACCACTTTGGAAAGATTCCCTAAGCTATCAGCACGTTGGTTTGCGAGATTCCTCCAGAAATAGAGTTCCCCAAAAGATTGAGTTTCGAAAATGATCGCTTATTGCTCCAATTATGATGTATTAGTATTAACTGCGTCCCATAGATGAGAAAAAGAGAGCTTTCTCATCGGTTGTTTCCATTTCTGTTTGTTTCATTTTAAGTCATGAGTATTTTGGCCGGTATTAATTAATGTAACTTCCACAACTGTTATTGCATAAATTACATTTCCTTTATATTATTATCTTTCTTTTGACTCAAGATTCATTATTTACCAATAAATTTGGTTAGGACAGTGTTTGAACAAAGAGCTTTAAGGTTACTACAAACTAATGCTCTCTCGATTAATTATTTACCAATAAAGAGTTTAGTGAGAAATGTGCAGCAAACTTTATAAATTCTTTTTAGGCAAAAGTAAAAGCAGGATCTTAACGAATTAAGGGTAGCTAAAGAAAAAGGAATGTAAACTCTTGAAATTCTTGTCATATGTAACAAGAACCGGTGTTGTCAGGCTCGAACCAGAGCTCGACTTAGCAGTGGCAAGGGGTTGAGCGACTCGGGGGTCGACTCGGGTGATTTGGAGGCCGATTCGGATGATATCATAATAAAATAATAAATATTAAAATTAATAAATATATAATTTTAATAAAATTTAATAGATTCTATATACATTTGTTGATTGTTAAAGTCAAAGTAGTGTTTCATAACTTTAAATAAGGTTTTTAGATAGCAAAATTATGACATTAGCTAGACTAATAGTTTAAATTAACTTTTACTATAATGAAAAATTGCTACATAATAATTGACTCTTATCATAAAGAAAATCACATTGGATGTTCAATCAATGTATTTGGTTGTAGTTTTCTTTTTTACTTTATTTTGAAGTAATGAATATAGCTTGATTTATTTGGTTTATAATATTTTAATTTATTTCAAACAATGGTTATTACTCAATTTGACATTTGAAATGTGAGATGAATGACTAAATTAAAAATTTAGACTTAAAACATTTGAAATTATGGGTTTAAATAACAAAAATATAAAAGTTATGGATCATTAATAACATAAAAAATCTAATTGAGGGTTAAAAGTGAAAAGTTCATATTTTACACCTCAAAGCTAGTGCAAAAAAATTTAAAAATTTTTAAAAATTGGCCTGAAAGTCAAAACCCGGGTTGACCTGGATTTGACCGATTTCCAGTTAATCGGAATCTTGACCGGTTTTGACCGATTCTTGAATGACCGATTTTCTAACCTGCTCGGCTCGGCCTAAGGTCCCGGTTTAGGTTAAACTGGTTCGACCATCCACTCCGAGCCGAGTTTAACAACACTGACAAGGACGGAACTTGAAAATATGTATAACAGACTTCCCTTTGCCAATTTGTATGTACGATTTGACATTCTTCTCTGGGCAATTAAAGTAGTTCAATTCCTTGCAACTCTAAATATGTTATGGAGTTACTATATTTATGTATTACGGTTTAGTAACCGTAAATGTTAATACTGTAAAATTGTACTCCTGGCTCTATATTTTGGCTGAGGTTTCACGTAACACACACAAGTTGATAACCCAAATTATTCCTCTCTTTCTGTCATGGTATCGAGAGCGGGTTGCGCCGCGGCTGCCATCTTTTCTTAATTTCTTCATCGTTGTTTTTTTCTTCCTCTTCTCGGTTCTTCACTATGACTGGAACTGATGAAGTTTCTTATTCTCCAAGGCTGTTGAGATGGCCGACACTGTTGTTCGTTGGAAAACAATCTCCCCTTATGACCTCTCGGGTAGTGATCAACCGAGTTAGATGATTTTTCAAATTTCGTTGAAAGGAGACAAGTGTGTTGAATGGGCTGCCTCCATCCACTACAACAAAAATGAGTAGTTTAGACACCTTTTTGTGTCTCAATAAGTGGTGTAATAGGACACATGTGATTCACATTGCGTGGGACACTACTAAACAGTGTCTCCTATAATCGAGTCACAATAAGTCATAAAACATTTGAAAGTGTATTATTAAATTGTCACTTATTAAGACTCTTTAAAGTAGCCCATTAAGTAGGGTAATAGTTCACAAGCAATCCCACATAGTACACTTATGATAGTGTTTCATAATATGCATACACTTTTTCATTTTTAATAAGACACTTTTTAGCAAATGTCCTAATACACATATAATGAGACACATTTTAAAAAAAGTGTCCCACTATAAAGGTATTAATAGCCCATTTTTGTTGTAGTGATCCGTACAGCTCTTCCAGCACAAAAAAAATTAGGATTTATAGAAGGCACGATTCCTCAACCAAATGCTCAATCCCCGGATCTTGAAGGTTGGTGGACGAATAATTCTCTTCTTGTTTCATGGATTATGAACACCATTGATGCCGGATTGCGGACGACTATCTCCTCCTTCGAAGTTGCTCATTATCTTTGGCTTGATCTCTGGGAACGCTTCTCAGTTGTTAACGAGTCACGCATTCAACAGTTGAAGGCTTCTTTTGTCGAGACATAATAACAAGGTATGTTGGCCTGATATTCCCCTCAATTGGGTCAACAAGGAAACAAATAAAACCAAGCAAAATTTGGCTTTGATTTTAGGAAACAAAACCCACTCCAATTGGGTTTTTGTTTTTAGGTTTTTTTCCTCTATAAAAGCAAGGCTTTGGCATAATTTTTTAGGTGTGTGTTTTCAGCCAAGAAGAGAAGAAAAGTTTGGGCAGCCATGCATTGTTTTTGTACGAGAGAAAAAGAAAGAAAGCAAGGGTTTAGTTTTCGGTTTAGCTCTCTTTTGGTTAGATCCTTCCAGTCCTACTTTGTGATAGGTGTGTGTGGAAGAATATTGTTGTAATCTACCTTTGGGTGAAGTCCTGTGTATTAACCGGTTGGTGAAGACTGTTTTCCCATTATTGTGATAGTGGAGATTTGACTGTTGTTACAGTCCCGTGGTTTTTCCCGATTTGGTTTTCCACGTAAATTCGTGTGTCTCCTTTATTTTATCAGTTCTTGAATTAGTTGCTTGTTTGGGTGGTTGTCCTATTTTTTGGTAGTAGGAAAGGAGATTTTCTTGGGGTTCGCTTCCGCAGTGTGTTGTATTTATACCCTTTTCGCCACAACAGTGGCATCAGAGCTACGGTTCGGTTGTTGAGTTGTTACACCAATAAAATGGAAGAGTCATCGGGTACTGGTACGATGATTAAATTGACTTCATCCAATTATTATATGTGGAAGCCTAGAATGGAAGACTTGTTGTATTGCAAAGATTTGTTTGATCCTGTTCTAGGGGATGAAGGGCCAAGTGATATGACTGATAAAAAGTGGGCTGATATGCACAGGAAGACTGTTGGTAATATTTGACAGTGGATTGATGAAAGTGTGTTTCATCACTTTTCGGGAGAAACAAAAGCTGATGAACTTTGGGAGAAAATCCAGAATATGTACTGGAAGAAGTCCGGCATCAATAAGTCATCTGCGCTAAAACAGATTTACCAGGTTGAGGTACAAAGATGGTGCTAGCATGAATGAGCACTTGAGTTCGTTTCAGGGTTTTTTGAACTTAGCTGTGAATGTAGGTTTAAAGTTGGATGATGAGGTGCAGACTTTGTTATTGTTTAGTTCTCTTCCAAACAGTGGGGACACTTTGGTAGTGTCAATCAGTAATTAAACCTAGGATGGTGTCTTGACCTTGGATCAGGTCAAAGAGGCTTTGATGAATGAAGAAGTCAGAAGAAAAGAGCAGAGTATTGAGTCTGAGTCGCAGGCTTTGGTGACAGAAAAGTCAGATAGAAGAGGGAGAAGTAAAAGCAGAGGGCCACGTGATCGGAATGACAACTCCAGGGGACGGTCTAAATCCAAGAAAGATGTCGTGTGCTACCATTGTCAAGGGAATGGGCACTTTAAGAGGGAGTGCATGGTTCTCAAGAGAGAACTAGCAGCGAGAAAAGGTAAAGGCAAGAGGGATGAATCAAGTGATGATGACACTACTGTAGTAGTAACTACCAGTGATGTATTGTGTACTGTCATGATGATACAATTAATGTTGCGAGTCACGACAGTGATTGGTTCGATGATTCAGGTGCATCTTATCATGTGACGCCTCACAGACACTTCTTTACTTCTTACACACCTGGAGATTTTGGTCGTGTAAGAATGGGCAACCAAGCCTCATGCGATGTTGTCGGCATGGGAGAGGTATCATTGGTAACGAATACAGGTTGTACTCTTGTCTTGAAGAATGTCAGACATGTTCCGGTTATGCGTCTGGACCTTATTTCCGTTGGTAAACTTGATGATGAGGGTTATCATAGCACTGAAGGTGGTAGCCATTGGAAAATTACCAAAGGGAATGTTGTTATTGCTAGAGGAAAGAAGTTGAACTCTTTGTATGTGTTAAATGCAAAATTGAAGAATGGAGAGGTGAATGCGACTCACAATGCCTCCATTGATCTCTGGCACAGAAGGCTTGGACACATGAGTGTTAAGGGGTTGCAGATTCTTGGTAAGAAGCAATTTCTCCCAGAGGTGAAAGGTACTGCTCTAGAACCTCGTGTTGACTGTATCTATGGTAAACAACATAGGATTTCCTTTCCAAATTCTCCTCCATCTAGAAAGTGCAGTCCTCTAGAGTTAGTTCATACAGATGTATGTTATATGAAAGATAGGTCATTGGGTGGAGCATTGTACTTTGTTACTTTCATTGATGACTATGCTCGAAAGGTTTGGTGTTTTTCTTTGAAATCTAAAGATCATGTATTAGATGTGTTAAAAGACTTTCACCTTAGAGTTGAACGAGAGACTGGAAAGAAGTTGAAGTGTGTTCGAGCAGATAATGGTGGTGAGTACAGGGGTCCGTTTGAGAAGTATTGGCGAGACCATGGCATTAAACTTCAGAAGAGTGTTCCGAAGACTCCGTAGCAAAATGGCGTGGCAGGAATGAATAGAACTATTACCGAAAAGGTTAGGTGTATGCTCTCGAATAAAAAGCTGCCTAAATCCTTTTGGGGTGAAGCCATGCAGACAACAGTTGATTTGATCAAC